TACTCATTTTCAACCACACATTCTTCAATAAAATAATATTTTTCATCACATCAATAACTTTTCTTTCTTTTTCAACCACATATTTTTCATCACATCACTTCAAAAAAATGCATTCTCTCATTTTAATGTGTACCAAACGTGCTCTCATTTCTAATCACACATTTACATGATAAAATATTTTGCACGTAAACTTAAAAATTTCCCCTACTTTTTAACCACATATTCTCTAGAAATTACTATCTAAAACTCCATTATTTCAAAATAAAATAATGACCATCAAATATGGGTAAAATATTTTGTACATAAATTTAAATTTTTTTCTACTTTTTAATCACGTATTTATCAAAATATCACAATTTTAAAACTCATTTTAATGATTGTCAAATATGGGCTTTAAATTTAAAAGGTTTATGCCTATTAATGTAGCATTGAAGTCAAGGGTATTCGATTCATTCGGCATGCATTTTGAGAAGTAAAAAGAAATCTTTGAAATTCAAAAGTTGTTTTTGAATTCGTTTAGTTAATTTTATAAAATGTAGTAAGCACTAGTCAAAAATGTGTATCCATTTTTCATGATCTTATGCATGAATCGGGGAAATCAAGGTGAATTCTTTAGAAAAATTGTATCTTTCGTAATGAAATTTGTTAAGTTAGATTTTAGAAGAGGTCAATTCAATGTGACTTCCTCTGTTTGGTTGACGTGGTTAATGATTTTGTTTTTGCTTCTTATATCAAACCTGAGTAAGGTTTTCTATAAGAAGTAAAAAAAAAAAATCATGTCAAACGGACTCTCAATATAAATTGAAAAGTCTTTAAAAGTAATTGGCATTCAAATTGTCAATGACTTTTAAAACTTTCATAAAAGAATGAAGAGATACTAATTTTTTAACGAAAAGTGTAAAAAAAAAATCTCAAAATTTTGCAATCATTTACTACCAAAATCCTAGGAGATTTACACAAAAGAATAAAAACTTTATTATTATTATTTTTTGTCCTTTCAATATTTCTCTTACATATTTCCTTTTACGAGCTTTAGAGACATAATTAAAAAATAATATTTTCTATTTTCTCTGTTTTCTTCCAGTTATATTGGTCATCTTTTCATTTTTCACTCTACTTTTTCATCATTTTCCATATTTTCCACGAAAAAATCAAATCAGTTTATAATCATATTTTCTATTGTCTCTTCTTTTTTGTCCAAAATTTTCTATAAAAAAATCAATTTGTAATAAAATTTGATTGAAAAAAAAAAAAGAATAACTTGTCATGAAAAGTTAAATATATTGATCGATTATTTACTTTTAAAGGAATTACAAATTAATAATATTTAAAATTAAAGATTTATTTATGTTTTATCAAGTAGTATTAAATATTATATTTTTATTTTTGTATTTTAGTTATTTATTTATCTAATTAAGGAGGCCTAAATATTTTATGCTTTTTTAAAAAATAAAATAAAATAGGGGAATCTTGTGAATCAGCCCTCCACATCACATGCTCTTGTTTGGTTCCCGTTATTTTTAAAATACACTTTTCTTTCTCTTATTTTTAATCATACATATTTAATAAAATAATATTACATACAAATCAAAAATATTTTCTTATTTTTTATCCACACATTCTCCATCAAAATATTACTACTGTTAGATTTATATATTGTATTGGCGATTCTGTGAACAAAATGATCAACTTGAACAATTATAAAAATTTAAGGACTGAATTGTAAAGTTTCATAGTTGGTAGGTTAACTTAGGGTTCGGGGTTTCATGTTTGGAACAAGAAGGATCCATGCCGATTTTTCGCTAGCTGCTCGTCGGAATGATCGAGCTCGCCTACTTTGTCTCTGTAATAGCGAACTGGAAGCGGGTGTACAACGAGCTCGCTTCATACGAGGAGGCTCAAGCGACCATATTTTTCGGCTAGACCTAATTTCGATTTCTGAGACTTTTTCTTAGCCCATTCAACCTAATTCGTCCAGCATATAAATATAGGCGCTGCGTTTTCT